AGCGAGGGCGCTGGTCGTCTTTGAAGGATTTGTTCCGGGGTGATGCAGCAGACGGTTCTGGACCTTTGAAGTGGGGCACTTTACACCTGGGTGTTTCATCTGAATGTGTGTGTGTGTGTTTTTTCGATATCGAGAGGAGATGAATAATACCCGGAGGCACTCACTAAATTTCACCAACGAACCTCAGAGAACTGTGGTGGGCGTGATCCTGGCAAAAAGGAAGGAAGACACCACAGCCAACCACCTCAATGCACACTCTCCCGAACTTATTGGAGAACGGGTTGGATACAACTACAATAAATAAATAGATATATATTTCCTATTTAGATACATGGTACCTCGGGTTACATACGCTTCAGGTTACACACTCAGCTAACCCAGAAATAGTGCTTCAGGTTAAGAACTTTGCTTCAGGATAAGAACAGAAATTGGGCTCCGGCGGCGCGGCAGCAGGAGGAGGCCCCTTTACTTAAAGTGGTGCTTCAGGTTAAGAACAGTTTCAGGTTAAGAACAGACCTCTGGAACGAATTAAGTACTTAACCCGAGGTACCACTGTACGCACCAAGCACAAAAGGAAGTTCTTAATCTCGTTTACTTTCACTTTGGCTGAATCATCAGTGTGATGTGAAGAGCGGCTTCAAATGGCGAAGCTTAAGGACTTACTAGAGAGAGGTGGTAGACAGAAAGGGAATGACATGGATCTAGGCTGCAGCCCTGTACGCGCTTCCTTGAGTGAAGATCCCCACGAGCTCATCGAGGACGAGTGCTGAGTGTAGACACCCTATGGGATTGTACAGCAGGAGAGAGAGAAAGAGAGAGGTCACAACCCAATTTCAGAGTGAAGAAGAACCGCTTGAGATCCCGATCCCGCGCTTAACAGATCATTCATAGGTTCTCAGTGGGGCTCTTTGGCATCAGCGTTTAGCCTGGACTCGGGTCAAGGTCTGCCGGGGATTGGATCTGCCCCAGTCTTTAACGCGCAGTGACCAGGCACTTTCGTTTTGACAAACATTTCTAGTCGGCCTTCAGGTTTCAAGGTAGGCTCTGTGGTTTAGGAGGCTTATCAGATCACTTAATCTCACTATATAACGTAAATCCACAGGGTCAGGGAGCAGATCTGGTTAGAATCATCCCACTAATGGCCCGGGGGGGGGGGTTGCTGCTGGAGAAGGATAGGACTGCCAGTTTAAGGGCCTCTTCCGAGACTCTCCTCCCTCTCATTGCTTCCTGTTCCCTGCAATTACACTACCGGTTTGAAGACGATCCGCCAAAGGTATTCTGTCGCAGGCATCGCCCACTGATGGAAAGGCTTTGAAAAACCAAGGAAGCATTTCCCTTCCCACGTTTCAAAGCAGCCAGCCGCGCAATTTACATTGGCGGGGCTGGACCGAGATTGGTATAGGGCTGTCTTTCTCTTCATCTCAGTCGCCCACCAGTCAGGAGATAATCAGCGCTGGGGGGCAGGGAGGTCCGTCAGAATTTATCCCATGTGGTGTTACTGTTCTTCTTACGGTGCCCTTATTATAATATGGAGCGTCTCTATCCCGGATAAGGCGGGATGCTATCACAGAGGAAGAAAGAGGCGAGCTGAACTAAGCAATCAACCTCTTTAGAAAGAGCGTGGAAAACCTTCTACTCTCTCAAAAGCCCCGACTGAGAAGCCACACAGAACCCTCACTCTTCTGTTCCGTGTTAACGAACACGGAATAACTCCTACCCTTAATTTTTGGCTATGACTGAAGGCGGATTTAAACTGTGACTAAGGCGGATTTAAAGTAGGGGTGAAAAAAATAGATCACTTGATGTTCCGCTTTGACTACCACTACCACCCATCCATTGGCTAAAGGGTGTTAACAAATCCGGGTCTGAGTATACGCCCTAGGAGGAAAAGGAGGGGAGCCTCCGGTCTGGCCAGTATGAAAACCCCTCCCCTCTCAAGGAAAGCCGGTGCCAACTCGCCACAGACCTGTCAGTTTGCCAACAACCCCCTGCCCCGGGAAATCATTAGGCTCTGAATTAACTCCTTTCTCCTAGCAGTTTAAAGACTCTCTTAAGCTGTTTACGGGAAGGGACTTTCCATGACTCTTTCGCGCTTCCTTGCTTTGGATGTGACACGGAAGACCCAGCTTAAGGGAGGAGATCTCCCGCTCTCTCTCTTTCCCTCCCTCCCTCTGTGTGTGTTTTCCCAGTCTTTCCTTGTTTCCCATGGTGGGCGTTAAAAAGTCAACTGCTCATCACTAACTTCCTCCCGCGTGTGACTGGAGGGGCGGAGGCCCCCTGTAGTAGGAGACCCCTCCTCCCCAGATGGTATCCCAGATCAACTGAAACAGCGGTTTCAGTTCTCTTGATTTCAGGAACGGATGCACGTTCTTCCTCTCCATCCCCCTTGACTTATCCAAGGAGGTCTTAAGGCTGCCCAAAGTTTCTCAATCGACAACAACTACAACAATGTTCGCAGAGGATAATCAACTATGGAACATGCCTCTGACGACCCATTTGATCTTATAAAAGTAATTAATTAACAAGGACTTTAATCGCATTCAACACAGAGAGACTTACTACCGAGTAAACGTATTTAGCCTCGCATTTATTTGAATGTGGCTTTTGTTTGGCCTTAATACATTTAAGGCTGGGGTGTTAAGCCTCTCGCCTTGAAGTATGTCGGAGATCTTGCTGATTATAGTTGCAACTCCATCCACAAACCTCTTACAACAAACGAATCCCATTGAAACCGACCCCCCATATATATATCCATATATATTGCTATCCTGTTAAATAGGTTGCTTTGTGTTTAGGATCGGAATGAGTGTCTGTCAGCTTTCAGCGCAACTGGCACCCCGATCCTAAAGACTTGAGAGCCAGTGAGACACCCCTACCTTCCCAGGTGAGTGCGTTTAGGATTGCAACAAGGGCGCTGTCCAAACCTTACTGACTCAGAGCCAAACCGAAATTGTTGAGCTTAATGTCTAATAATTTCACGAAGATTTACTGAACGGAGGCATGGAAACAAAGAACGCATCTGGAGTAATTAAAACGTAACATTTCCACAGTAAGTAAAATGTGCTACTTACGGCGGTTCCGTCCATGGAGTTCCTCAGCATAATATGGTTTTCTAGTCCTCCTCAGAAATAATACCCTGGTCTTTGTACTGGAAACAGATCCTAGATTTTTTTTGCTTACTTGTTTAGACTCACCCCTCCTTCCATCCCCATTTACGCTCCTTCAACCCAACCCTTTCTCTTGAAATTATTAAGGGGGAGGGAGTGTGTACTTGCCTTTGTGCGTTTTGTTGTTTTGCTTCTCTACAAAAACCCTCAAAAATGCCCATAAATTCTTTACCAGACTGGAAACATTGATTGAAGGTTCATTACAGCGCAACTAACATTCTTTGAAAATAAGGGTAATAGAGTTGCCAGGGATGGTTTAGCGGTCATTTGATATTACTTAACAAACTGATTTTCTAACTGCAAAAAAGGAGGGATACATTGAAAAGATTACTTATGTTAAATGACTGCGCAAAAATGCAAGAGAAACCGACGTCCACAACACATTCCTGATTATATTTTATTAAAGGAGACAGAATGTGGATCTGAACCTACTGGCAGATCTCTGATTTACAGCAGATCAGCAAAAATTTCTGACACCCAACTGTGTATTAATGGCAACAACCTATATGACTTGTGTCATCCATATTAAAGGATTGAAATGAAGACAATTAGCTAGGCAGGGACTTTTGTATAAAAGGGCTCAGAGTCACCTTGTTCAATAATTCTGTGGGGTTTTTTTGTGTGGTTTTTTTTTTTTTTTGCAGATGGCTCTGGTTGGTAGATCTTGGCAAAACAAACAAACAAAGTAGATCCAAAAAGTCTAAAGCCCGCCCGCCTGTGCACTACAAATATCTGCTCTGTCGCTTGAAATTTGAATAAGCTGCCGCTTGATTGTTTCTGTCGGGTTGAACCTTATCAAAGCATCTTCTGGTCCTGTGGAGGGCGAGGAAAAAAAGAATTATATATAGGATAGTGATTGAAATAAATTATCATTAAGGACAATAAGAATGGAAAGTACTTAGGACATCAATCAAACTGCTTGCCTGTCTATCAGTATTGCCACCAATTCTCGAGTTCAAACCAGATGGCCCGAATGACTCGAAATCAAATAGTGTTTTATAAACGGGGTAGGTGGCATATGTTAATCAGAACAAGTGGCCTAATATTCACGAATGGGTCATTATCTTGCAAGCACAACTTTCGAGCCGTCCGATCTGTAAAGAATAAGATAAAGAATTTCCCGGGGATGAGAGAGGAGGGAAATGTGTGTCTTCTTCGCACGTTTCAGCCGTCGTGGATCAAAGGTGCAGTTCCCCCCTCTAAAAAAAAATGAAAAAGGTATTCAAATCAGATCGAAAGGTTACTTAACTCTCCCACTGAGGAACTCAAAAGAAACGCAGCTTTGCAGTTGGATCTCATCCGCCATCTCCCTTTTCACACTTGCCTCTCGCATCCATCCTAAGCGCTTGTTACACCTGGTACATCTCTCATCTCTCCCCTCCCTTCTCCGACCCCCTCCACCCCCACCCCCACCCCGCCTCCCCTTTAACTCTTCTCTCCGGCTCTTCCTTTCATCTTCGTCGCCGGCAGACGTTTCTATTTATCCCCCGGCAATCAAGTGAGTGGCGTCACCAGAGGTACTGTAATGACGATTGCACCATTAAGGGATGACAGCTTTAGAAAGAAGAGGGCAATGGTGAGATCCCTCCCAGAGCCGCCGCTGCACAGTGGAGCGTTCGCATCACAAGGTCACCCCCCGGCTCACCACCGCTCGCGGCTCCCTCTCTCTCTCTCTCTTTCTGCATTGGCAGGAGAGGGTCTGCTGGGAAGAAGGGGTGGGGTGGCCCGGGGGGGAGAGAGAGAGGGAGAGAAGGCGCAAGAGGGTGGATGGGGCTTGGGGTGGGGTGGGGTGGGGGAGAGGAGAATCCGGACTTTATTTAAAAGACCAGCACAATGGAAACTAGGAAGGAGATGGTGATGTTTCTGGAAGGAGGTCAACTTGGCTCCCTGGCAGTAGCCAAGAGGGCACCCAGCTTGGCAGAGGCCGTGGGAAGCCCTGGTCCAGAGCCGCAGGACAAGATGATTCATAGAGGCTGCCACAGCCCTAGGTCTGGACCCTTACCCTCCCGGGAAAGAGGAGGAGGAAGGGTGGAAGAGGAGGATGAAGAGGAGGATGAAGAGGAGGAGGAGGTGGAAGTGCTCCCGGCGACAGGGACGGTCCCGGAGAGCCGGTCCGCGGCGGCCGCGCTGCTCTCCGCCGGGCAGCAGCCCCCGCTCAACCGCTTGGCCGCCAAAGGCCAGCAGAGCAGCTCGGACACAGAGTCGGATTTCTACGAGGAGATCGAGGTCAGCTGCACCCCGGACTGCGCCACGGGCAACGCGGAATACCACCAGCACGGCAAAGGTACCCCAGCCCCTCCCTTTCTCCTCCCGCCTCCCAGTCTCTGGTCCTGGGGCTCAGGCCGGCCGGGCTGCATCCCAAGACGGGCCATCCCATCTGCCCTGGAGCTTAGGAGCAGAAAGTCAGCGCCTGGTACTGGAAAGCAGGCTGCGTCTCTGCTTTCCAACCCGATCCCCAAAGCGCTTAAGGGCTAGTGGGGGGGGGCTGTCGGGGAGGCAGCCTGCCATATACCATCTGATCTGGCTCAAGGGCTTTGATGATGTTTGCTGCCTCGGTTTGGATTCCCCCCCCCACACACCCCCACCTTCTCCCTTTTCCAGGATCCGTAGAGCCATGGCTTGGGGGTCCCCTGGTATCTCTAATTGCCCGCGGAGAGACATCTGCAATAACCCACACACATCTCCCGCTTTGAAGTCTAACGACGTGTTAATGGGGGACATGAAATCGCATCCTCGCTGCAACAGAGAATTATGACCTTTGCAGATTTCCCTCCTGCAGCCCAGACTTTTATTGTAATGAATTCTCCCAGAAGCTTTTCCTGTTCCAGGGCATAGCAAGACCCCCCTCCCCTCCCCGCCCACACCCTTGCGCCCACACCTACCCAGGATTATAGTACTCTGGGCTCCCCAGCTTCCCACCCCCAAGGAAGGAGGAAAGAAGGCGAACTTTCCGGGATTTGGCCAAGATCAAAAGAAAAACTCCGCGCCTGCTGGCCAGGCTTGCAAGTTGCTCTTTGGGGCTGCTGGCGCGCGCCTTTCTCCTGGCAGGGATGCAGCGTGCCTGCGGGAGCCCCGAAGCAGCCGCAAGAAAAAAGGACAGTAAAGGGGGGGGGAGCGGCTGACGCCCCTGCTGCCCAGCGCCCAGTACTCAGGTCCTTTTCTTTGCACATTGGTTCGATGTCCCAATTGCCTTGTCACTTCCGTGTCTCGGTGGCGCCAGCTCGGAAATGGTCCCAGGGCTTTAATTGCCTTCGATCTTATTCAGGGCACAATGAGAACTGGCTGCATTTGAAAGCAAGCGCGCGCACACACACACAGAGGCCGAGACCACGGACTCTTTCTCGCCACCCCCTCCCACCATCACTCGCACCCCCACCCCACCCCCTCAGCCTCAGAGCCCTAAATATCTTCTGGGAAAGTGTTGGAATGAGGGAGAGCTCTGGTTTGGCCCAGGAGGTTTCTTTCATCTCCATTGCCAGAAGGAAGAAGGGTGTTTTTGTTGTTGTTGCGGGGAGAAGGTTGGGGCCATTACACAAGAAAGGTGACTCCGCCATCTCACTTGCCAGTTATGGTCATGTATGGCAAAGGACGGTTATCAGAGGCCAACAAATGGAGGGGAGGGTGGCTATCGCCTTGGCAAGCACTTCCCTCTGCGCACAGAGACAACAGGCCTCAGAGATGGACGCTAAGGACCCCCATAGCCTTTGGAGGATCTCCTTTGTATTGCAGAGAAGGGAAACATCACCTGGTGGTGTCAGAGAGGTCTCTTAACGTCTTTATCCTATCTACGTTGTATTGAAAGTTCATTCCCCTGTGATCACTGTCCTGAGGGATTTGTTCCTTTCAGGTCTCTGTGTGTCTCTGTGTGTGGTGTGGACCCTTTCTAGAGCCTCTCTAGAAAGGCTATCCTCCTTGGTTTGTCGCAGGCCAAACAACAATAAAGAGGCACCTAGACGTCGAACAGATTTATTATAGCACAAACTTTAGTGTAACTACAACCTACTTCAGCAGATGATTTGGGGGATTTCACATGCTACTCCAGTAGTAGGATTTTTTAAAAAAGCAGTAGGCTTTGAAAGAGGCCTCTTTGATACTTATTTCCCTCCTCCCAGTTATTTCCCACTGCAGGTGCTGGGGAAAATGAGCCAAAGAAAAAAGCTCTCCTTACTTTCTGCTTCTTTCTGTCCCATTCCCAGTGACTAGGGGTGGTGAAGCGTTTGCATGGAAGCCGGTGTGCATTCCTTAGATCTAAACAACATCTGGGATTACCATCAGAAACCTATTCTGGCTTCTGTTCAATGCGATGTCAATCCCGATTAAATAATAATAATAATAACAACAACAACCAACAAACGTGTCCGGGTATAGCGGCACCGTTTGGCCAGCGCTTTTCAGTGTAAATTGTGTCAGTGTGTGCGCGCGCTCGGGAATGCGGCCTTGTAATCCAGATCCTAAACACAAAAGGAAATGCGATTGGCTTTCAGCGAATTTTACCGGAGGAGTAAACCTCGATGCGCAGAGCGATCCTAGGCATGTTTGCTCCAAATAAGGCCCTATTATAGCCAGTAGGGCTTACTCTCGGGTAAGTGGGGAAGAGGATTGCACCCTTAACACAAAAAAGAGAAAGGAACCAGATTGCCACCCAGGAGCTAAATACTTTGGGTAGTCATACCTAAACACCTGATTTGAAATAATAATAATAATAATAATAATAATAATAATTTTTACTAATTTCAAGGGGCCTTCCATGGTTCCATGACATTGTTTCCAAGTAAGCCTAATGTACACCTAAAGCCAGTCAGTCAACCCGAGCCCAGGTATATTCGTTCAAAAGAAAACCCCACGAGTTCAGTCCTACTTACCCTCAAAGTAAGTGCGCGGCCCCAGGAGATAAGAGATAATACTCCCCATAGAGTCTTGCTGACTGAGGAGTTACTCCTGAGTAAAGGTGTCTGGAACTGGGCTGCCCATCTATTTAAATCCTAATAAGGTAACTAGGCTGTTGATCTAACTAGTCTTTCGGATCTCTCCAGTTATTCGGTTACTAAATATGGGCTAGTTTGTGTCCGTAGGCATCCAGCCCCATTTCTCAGGGGCTCCAAACTGGGGGGGGAGGGGAGAAAGTGGACAAACTGAAATTAAGCGGTGGGGGGAAGGAAACACAGGTTGGCAGAGCCCCGCTGTCTTTCTTTCTCTTTCTATGTCTTCCTCTCGACTTGCCCTTGCAGGACACTGCTCGGAGACCTCAGCGGGCAGCCCCAGCAGCGGAGGGGACCCCCCTAAAGGCAGCGGGGGCAGCGGCGGAGGGGGCTCTCAAGGATCGCTGGCCTGCAGCGCCAGCGATCAAATGCGCCGGTACCGCACGGCCTTCACCCGGGAGCAGATAGCTCGGCTGGAGAAGGAGTTCTACCGGGAGAACTACGTCTCCAGGCCCAGGAGGTGCGAACTGGCGGCCGCCTTAAACCTCCCAGAAACCACCATCAAGGTAGGATCGCAAGCGGGGATCTCAAGGTTCCAGCACAATGTCACGCATGTACAGTCTGCCCAACGGCCGAGACGCCCCACGCTTGCTTACAGCCAAGCAGCAAAGTTCCCCTGCGGTGGCCTTCCGGCCAAGGCTCCCCTGCGCTGATTTAAGTCCGATGGCAGTTTATTGGAGCTGCCATTCAAGAGCTTTTAAGGCAGAGCGATTACCCCCTTTCACCCTTTCCATGCGTGCAGAGTGGAGATCCCAATTCGCATTAGTAGCTTGTCAGTTTCACTGAAACCTGCTCGCGTTCTTTACTCAATGGGCTTATTTCTGTGTACTTTTGGAGAGGTGCAACTCCGACAGCGCGGTCCGATCTATACACGCCTGCTCAGAAGTAAGTTCCATTGAGTTCAACGGTGTGTAGACGAAAGCTTCTATAAGTGTGCACAGCATTGCAGTTTACGCACCACTTATTTCGGAGTCCACTGAAATTAATCCAAAAGCAGCTTTTAACCACGGTCGGTCGACTGAAACGTCCCCAACTCGCGAGTAACCTTGCTTACGACTTCGAGATGTTTCAAAGTTGGTCCCCCATGGAGCTGTTAGGCTACTGATCCTTCAGGGTTCCCCTCCTCCCCGAGTAAAATGGTTGCTTCCAACTTTGGCAACTGAAACAAATGGCGCTTACTCCCAAGTAAATGCGTACAGAATGGGATCTGACTTGAGTGGGATTAAATAGGATGGAAGCACTGCTGCGCCTTGGATATCTTGTGGACCAGGTTGTCTCCAGAACAAGGAAAACCCAGAAGAAAATCTAAGGCTGCATTCTATGCACACTTATTTGGGACTAAGCTCCTTTGAAGTCGATGGGACTTCCGTCAGTGCAAACAGCCGCAGGATTTCGCTGCGCCCTTCCCCTTCCTTCGTCTCATAGCTCCTGGGGAGTCTGCGTCTGTTTCAATTTATAAGCACTGCACAGTCTAAGGATGGCAGACTATTTGCGGACGCAGCTACTGGCACAAAAGAAATTTCACACCCGAAGGCTGTCAAGGATACAAGTTGGTTTCATCTGGAAGCAGTGAGGCTCCTTTCAATTTCAGCGGATGTGGCTTGCACCCGTCTCCTCATATAGCTCCAAACATACTGGGTGCATGTTGCAAAGGCTGAAAAGCGGGCAGGATCGCAGAGGCAGACGGGAATGCAGCAGGAAGGCAGTTCTGTAGCAACGCTAATAGCACTGTAGTAAAAATAATAATAGTCACTGTGAAACTCCATCATTGGATGTAGTTGATCAAGCTCACAGACACCCCACACGCACACTTTTCATTTCATTTATATTTAAATATATACGCCGGGGAATGCCAAGCGGGCTACCTGCCCCCCCGGGCGTTGGAAGGGCGATTCAGCAAGTGGATGCTGAAAACCAGTTAATATTGTGAGATGAAACGATAGTGCTGTGTTGCAACAAAACTCCCGAGGCTTTTGGTGGATTGCTAAATACCACCGAGGCTCTAGGTTTTATTGCTGTCCTTTTGTCCATTGGTCAACACACAATCCCAGGCCCAGTTAGACAAGCCAGGAGTTTTATAGGTTCCTGCTGCAACCCCAGACCCGTTGGGCCGGAACTCTGACCGCACAGAGTTCTCTGAGGCCAAGTGAGCTTGCTTAAGCCTGCAGCCTCCCTCCAGAGCAAAAACAGGGCGCGCGTGAAGATCGCGGTCTTGCTCCGTCTTCTTGCGGGAATTTTAAGAGCTTCCTGTGGTTCTTCTGTCTGTCTCTCTGCCAGGTGTGGTTCCAGAACCGGCGGATGAAGGACAAGAGGCAGCGCTTGGCCATGACTTGGCCCCACCCGGCAGACCCGGCTTTCTACACCTACATGATGAGCCACGCGGCGGCCACCGGCAACCTGCCGTACCCGTTCCCGTCACACCTGCCGCTCCCTTACTATTCCCATATGGGCCTGGGGGCCACCTCGGCTTCTGCTGCGGCCGCCGCCCCCTTCAGCTCCCCCCTGAGACCTCTGGACACCTTCCGGGTCCTCTCTCACCCCTACCCCAGACCAGAACTTCTGTGCGCCTTCAGACACCCTTCCCTCTACGCCGGCCCAACGCACGGACTGAGCGGCGCCGGAGGGAGCCCTTGCTCGTGCCTGGCTTGCCACGGGAGCCAGGCCAACGGGCTGCCTCAAAGGCCTTCGAGTTCGGACTTTAGCTGCTCCGCCACCACCAGGACTGACTCGTTCCTCACCTTCACGCCCTCGGTGCTGAGCAAGGCCTCCTCGGTCTCCTTGGATCAGCGGGAAGAAGTCCCTTTGACCAGATAAAAAGCTTCATCTCAGGTTTCTCTGCTCTCCCCTACCCCACCCGACCTCACCCCACCCCACCCCTCAACTCTTGTCCAGAGACACCCTCCCTCACCCCAGCCGGTCAAAGAACTTCCATAGCGTGTTTATTTAATTGCGGGCAATGGACGCCAATGGAACACTGACAGAGGAAGGGAACGGAACTGTGAAATAAAATTCTAACAAAAACGAAACAAAAATGGAAGGATTTCTGTTTCGTTCTTCTCTGTGGAAAAAGTACCAGAGTTGCAACTGATTGGTGGGCGGGCGGGGGACGACTTTGCCAAGTGACGCGTCTACGAAGGCGGAAGGAAGGAAGAAGATGTGATTTTTGCACCACAGGGGGAAATAATCGAGAACTTTGGTCTCCGAAGGACTTTTTTCTCCAGCCTAAGAGGGCAGGATGCCCACCAACTGCGGCATCGATAGCTTATGCATAACCTTGTATGTGACTAAAAAGGGAAATACTTGAAAGGAAGAAATTGTGGATCCTAACGAATAATGTATGCCTGATGAAAGTAAAGGTTTATTATTTGCCAGATTAAAAAGAGAAAGTGAAGGGCCTTTGTTGGATTTGCCATGTCAGAGTGTCATCCCCGTTATTTCTGACTATTATCACCCCCATCATCATTATTAGGCTAATTGGCTTCAGAAAAACACCAACAAAACTCAGCAGAACTCGCTATACATTTTCGGTGTGCCTTTTTCTTTCTCCAGCTCCAGCTCCATGCTGGCTTTCCGGAGAGATCCCCCCACCCCACCCACCCACCCACCTTTTACCCTGAAAGGAAAGGGGGAAGGTGCGATCTTTTGTGTCTTGCCAACTGAGATGGGGTGGGGCGGGGCATGTGTGTGTGTGTGTGTGTGTGTGTGTGTGTGTGTGTGTGTGTGTGGTGTGTGTGTAAAGGGAAGGGGCTGGCGAGCGAAATTGCCAGAGGGAAGCCCAGAAGGGTCAAAGCTATTTGTCCTTTAAAAGAACAGCGTCGCGTTGTCAGTTTCTGAATTGTGACCACACCGGCGAAATTAGAAAGTGATGTATAATGTAGCGGAAGGTGCTGGTTTTCTCCACCACCTTCCTTCCTTCCTTCCTTCCTTCCTTCCTTCCTTCCTTCCTTCTTTCTTTTTCTTTCTTTCCCTCTTTAATGTGTCGGCTGCAAGAGTATTCTCAGCACAGAGACCGTGCGCCTGCCAAACGCTAACAAGCCGCCAAGGGAAGAGATTAAGTGACAGGGAGCAGAACTCAACTCTTCACGCAATCACTGGTCTGCAAATTAAAGCCGAGCCGCTTTCTGCCTCTCCTTCCTGGTTCACCTTCAGTTCTCCCGTTGCCTTCCACGCCACCACAACCCCCACTCTCTCCCCCTTTCTCATTTTTATTCGCTGCCTTTGAGTTTGGAACTGAGCTTTTGTTCATCTTCCTTGTACTTGTCTCTCGCATTTCGTTCTCCTTGTACTTGTCTCTCGACGCTCCTTAGGCATAATCGCCTCGCTCCCCCAGCCCGCTTCTTCCACAACCTCAAGTAAAAGAAGTTCCTGTAGCAGATGCTGTTGGTATTATTATTATTAACCGGAAGTATAGCAACCACAATTTAATTAAGAAAAACTTCCCTCCCTCCATTAAACTGGGCTAGTCATGTCTCCCTACCTTCAATTGCTTAATCTGCCATTTCAAACAATGAAGGCACCCAATTTAACTCACTGGTGTCTTCAACCAAGTCACAATTTCGAACATCTTTCGGCAGGGCATTATTATTAATACTGTTATTATTTATCATATATTTAAAATCCATTCTTGAACTTTCCACATGCCCAATTTATATTTTCATTCCGATTGCAATGGAAATAAACGGTGACTGGAGGGAATGGCTAGGAGGAAAGATGTTTTTGACATACTTGCTAGCCTAGTTTTGTGTGTTAAATCTCGGGTGAGTCTGTGTGAGAGTTGTCGCGATCTGCAGTCCAAATCCACCGATCAGTTAAGACGCAGCGTAGGAATTATTGGCTATTTGAAGCGGGGACCCAAAGTTTGCTTAAATGGCAAGCAACTTCAAAGAAAATCGGTGGTAGTTGTGGTGGGTTCATTCCAAACAGTGTTCATGCCGGCCTGAGATCAAAGTATGAGATTGTGGATGGCGATGAGACTTAATTCGGAAAAGTTCGCCTTAGAAAGAGCAGCTCTGAAATGAATGAATAAGAATAGCTCGGGTCAAGGGGAAACAGAAGCACGGAACTCCCATTCATTTCAACAGGATTCGCCGAAGGTCAGGAGAACTTCTCTAGAAGGCTCTGTTCTTTCTATGGGTAGGACAAAGGGTTCAAACAACCTAGGTTTCTACGCTAATTGGTCTCTCAAGAAGAAGTATGAACCTTCATTTCAAAACGTTGCTTTTCATTTAAAAAGTGGTTGACCCTGGAGAGTTAATAAATAAATAAATTTAGGAGTTGAAATGCGATTCCCTCAAAGCAAAGTAAAATAAGGACATGGCAGATTTCCACAGAAATGTCAGCTATGAGAGTGATACATATCTCCTTGATATTGTCCCTATTATTATGGACTGATACACCAGATACGAATAAACATGCAAACAAGAAGATTGCAATAGGGACACTAAAGTTTCTATAGAAACCTTAGGCTGATTTACTTGGAAATAAGTCCCACTGAATTCAATGGGGCTCACTCTGAGAAAAGACGTCTAAATGTGTGTGTAAATGTCTACTGAAAATTGATCACCTTCTCTCACGTGACAAAAATAATGCAAGCGAGCGAACAATGTCTAATTTTGGAAATGTGGAAGCAGCCCATTGTGCAGAGATCATAAGAACTCGGCTTTGAGTGGATGCCTCCCGGTGACACGGGTCGCCTCGAAAAGAGAAGGAAGCGGTTTCCCACCTTTTGGGTGGGATGGAAACTGGCGGCTGTCAGGATTCACACCTAGATTAAAGCCTGCAGTCTTCGCCTGGCTAGATCGCCTATTGGCGTCCAGTTCTCCTTTTCTCCTGTTCTTGTTGAAATCCATGGCAAAAATGCTAGTCAGTCCGCGGAGGATACTCATAGGCTTTAGTCGCGTGTCTCTAGAGCGGCGTGTTCCTAATCCGACGGTGGGCAGGGGGCTTAAGCGCATTTATTAGAGCTAAATTCTGTATAAATCAATGCACATGCCCCACTAAGAGGTCAATGACTTGCCATTGCAAGCCCAATCCTAAGCATATACAATTTGGCAGTCCAGAGGAGGACAGCGTCAATGTCTTCTTCTTATGAAGGCAACCTCCTCTGGGAGTAATGAGTAGAAGAAAATCACGCAACAGCGGATCATGAGTACTGATCTACTATGATTTCACTTTCAGCACATCGTGGTTGCAATGATGGTCCCAAAGGAAATGACGAATTAAAAATAGATCAAAAGATATTTTTATTTTATTTAACAAGAATGTATACACCGCTTGTGATTGTGGTGAAAGGGGGTTTACAGGAAGTATGACAATATATATTTTACTTTCCCAACTTAGGTTGATGGATGTAGGCTTTCGAGGATCACTGAACTCTTCGGCACAATGTTTCCCCATTTATTTCTACAGGCGTATGGAAATCTCAGGAGAAACTGAGGTTCACAGGATTGCAGCCTACCCGTATGAATCCTTTTGCATGTCTGCTCAGCGCACCCCTTTCTCAGAAAGAAGTCCTATTGTGTTCAGTGGACTTACTGCCGAGTGAGTGCGCTGAGGGAGGCATACTGGGGACTGTTTTGGTGTTCAAATGGTCATCGGCAGATAAAAAGCGCCGCAATGTCATACATGAGCCCTTATCACGCAGCATCCTAAACGCTGCAGAGTTTTTGATTAAGACTCTTAAGGACACAGATCACATTTGCTTCCGCACTTGCTAAGTCTTTTGATGGGAGCATGAAACGGGGACAGGAACGTTGTAGAGTTAGGATCTCTCCCAAAGCCTCAAACAGGGAAGGAGAATTCTTTAGAGTTCATGATCTTGCTAAGATGAACCTGGCGTCAATGTTGCGATGCTGGATTAACACTACAACGCCAAATCCTGGGTGCCATCCGCAAGCATCTACTGGCGAGTTTGACACTCTTGGTTAAAAACGGAGAGGGAGGCTGCCCTCCCCTTCCCCCTCCCCCTGTCCTCCCCCTCCTTCATTCAAGCTCTCCCACTCACCACCCCATCCACTCTCTCTCCACTATCCCGTTGGGAGCCATTGTCTTTCAAATGGGGCTTTCTCTGGCGGATCCCGGCGTAGCACAAAGATGATAGTGAATTTTTTCCCCGTGATTCGGTCATAGGGCAGAGATTGCCTGCGACAGGTAAATAGGCTGCGAGGTTGCGGTAATGCCAGGCGTATTTTCAGTTAATAGGGAGGGAAAATGAGGTGTCTGGAGCAATATTGGAAAGTACAAGATCGATGATCCGTCCTCGTGTCCAATCAGCAGCCTTTAATTGACTGTATTTTCTAGGTAATTGAGCCACTCTGCCTCTAAATTGAAGTGGAAGATATAACAATACATCTTGCTGGGAGGAATTACTCATTACTTCATAATGAAATTTTCCTTTTTGCTATGGAGTGGGTGGGCTGAGCGCTCTCGCCTTCTTCTCCTTTTTCTTGCATTCTCTCTCTCTCTCTCTCTCTCTCTCACACACACACACACACACACACAAACTAACGCCGGGGCTGCAGTTTGGTCATAGCTACGTGGCCTTAAATGTGCAAAGTATAGGGAACGGAAAATAGATAGGGTCGGGAAAAGGAGGGTCCCCAAACCCTAGTGGAATTAAAGACTTCAATAAACATTGGCGCAAGTCATTCTCTATGAAGCAGAAAGGGATGGGAGAGGAAGTCAAGAGAGAGTAACAAAGAAGATCTGGGGTTTATAGCTAACTCTCCTCCTAGGTCTAAAAACCCATGCTAGCGCCCCAGGAAACTGGGAGTTAAGTCTGCTTGGTTTCAGTGGGGCTTGCTTCCAGAGGGTGC